CACACCTCGAATGGCTCAAGCAGTCAGAAAATCTGAACTGACAAGAGGCCTCTGGTCCACCTCCCCCCCAGATGAAGATGTGTACTTTAGAGCCAAAGAAGTCTGGGAGAGTTTGTGACTGGGATACCACAAATCTTGTAACCTGAATGCTCATGTGGACAAATATAAAACCTGGCCACTGCACTGATAGCTTGGATGGTTGCATTATACCTGCATGTCAAATGACACTTTTACAATAGATGAAGGAATAATTTTTTCTTCTGATTTCTGTTCTCCTTTTAAAGCCTACCTGGGTGGCGCCATAGTACATGCACGGAGCGGCAGCCTGAAGTCAGGAAGACTCTTCTTCCTGAGCTCAAGTTTGGCCTCAGACACCAGCTGTGTGACCCTGGGCAAGTCACATAACCTGTTTGCCTCAGTTTCCTCATGTGTCAAATGAGCTGGAGAAGGAAATGGCAAACCAGTATCTTTGCCAAGAAAACCCCAAATGGGGTCACGAAAAGTCGGATATGACTAAACAACAAATATTCAGAGTCAACTACCAGGTGATAACATTTTTTTGACCACAGTAATTCATGCAAGTGTATAGGGAAGGGAATAAACATTTATGTAGCGTCTAGGTGAGCCAGGCACTGTGCTAAGCACTTAATCTTTTTTTTTTTACAAAGATTATCTCTTTCGAGCTTCCACAATGAACCTGAAAAGTAGGTGCTGTTGTTATTCCCATTTTACAGTTGAGGAAACTGAGGCAGACAGGGTTAAGTAACTTGCCCTGAGTCACATCACTGATAAGTGTCTGAGGCCAGATTTGAACACAGGAATTCCTGATGCCAAGCGCGGCGCTCTGTGCACTGTGCTACCGACCTAGCTCGCTGTACAGTAAGTGCAGAGATGTAAAGAAGAGAGACCGACAGAGACAGAGGAACAAGTTTGGGCTGCGCTGCTGGGCACAGTGGGAGAAAGGATGGCAGCCTTTCAGGATTCTGTCTCCTTGCACTAACAGCATTTCTGGTGGAGCTATGCATTAGATCAACCATTCTGGGTTTTTTTTTTTAAACTTATTCTCAACAAACCAATTCTCAGCAAATAAAATGAGCATTTCCATATACAAAGTAGAACAGAAAAAGAGGATTGCGTAGGAAACTGTGAGTTTCTCTTATGTACAGCTTCCTAGCTGGCTCAGTGGATAGAACACTAGGCATGGAGTCAGGAAGGCCCGAATTCAAATCCAGCTTCAGACACTCACTAGCTGTGTGATCCTGGGCAAGTCATTTCATGTTTCTCAGCCTCAGTTTCCTCATCTGTAAGATGAAGATAATAATAGCACCTTCCTCGAAGAGTTGCTGTGATGAAATGAGATAATATATGTAAAATGCTTTGCAAATCTTAAAGCCTTACGGGAACAACCCACCTCACTGACTCCTTGGAAAGACCAAGCAAGCTCCTGTACCAAAAGCCTTCTGTAAACAGTGCTAAATAAACACCAGCCACACCACTGTTTGTCTTTAAAAAGCCTTTGATGAAAGGGTTCATCAAGGAGCAAACATGGGAGTGCAAGCCACTCCTTTATCCTACCACAGCCTTAAAAGAGAGCTGCAGATGGACACAAAAGTCGTTTGTATATGAGACAGCTGTTTATTTCCGACCCAAGGCCAGGCCATGAAGTTGAAAAGAAGACAGATGTTCCTGACGTGAGAATGTTCAGTGGAATAAACATCTGGACTTTGGAGGTGAACGTCCTTGAAAGAATAGTGACCTTTTTGTGAAAGGGTCAATCCATAGGCCCCACTGACTAGCTTTCTGGCTGACTCCCTCTAAGACCATGGGCAGTCACTGCCTCTCCCCAGGCCTCAGTTTCCCCCTCTGTAAAATGAGGGGGTTGGACTCGATGACCCCTGAGGGCTCTTCCAGCTGTAGGTCTTTAACCCTATGACATCTACATTATTGCAGACTCAGGGCTTTCCCCATGGCGGGAAGGAAAGATTGTCCCCAGTCAGAATCAGGAGCTGCTTTTGATACAACTCGACACTGTTCTTGGCATCCTGATGCTTCCACTTTTCTGGGGGACACAATCCAGGCACAGAAGTTTCCTTCTTAAATTAAATTAAAATTAAATTAAAAAATTCAAGGGAATCTGAAGGACAGAGAACACTGGGGGTTGGACGGGAGGGACACTGGGAGATGCAGGAGGCGGCAGCTGAAGGCCCTTGGGAGAAGCTGCAGATTCTAAGCTCCACGGTTTAAGAAGGACATTGATGGGCCTGATCGTCCAGAGCAAGGCAATCGGGACAGGGAGGGGCCTGGAGTCCATGATAGATATGGGCCATTTGAAGAAACTGAACGCGTTAGCCGGGAGAAGAGTCAGGAGGCGACTTGGTAGTTGTGTTCAAATCCAGTATCTGAGGGATCTGCCTTGTGGAAGACGACTAGGTTTGTTCTGTTTGGCCCCAGAGAAGGATCGGGGAATGGAGCCTGGATGGGGGTGGGGCAGGGCAGAACGGGGGAGGAAACTGCAAAGAGGTCAGGTGCAGCTCCACTTCCATTAAGAATTTCCTAGGGACCCTAGGCAGGGAGAGGCTGGGCGTTCTTCGTCCTGGGAGGTCTTCAAGGAGACGCTGAATGAATGATCAGTTTTCTGGCATGTTATACTGGGGGGGTCTTCTGGTGTATCTGTTAAGACTAGCTAGACCTCAAGGTCCCTTCTGGTGCTCAAATTTGGTGACTTTGTGAAGTGTGCTTCACAACCTGAAGACAATCTAGGGGAAGGCAGAGACACATCGAGGAAGGGAGGAAGGAAGAAGGGAGGGAGGGAGGAAAGAAGGAAGGGAGGAAGAAGGAAGGAAGAAAGGAAAGAAGGAAGGAAGGAAAGAAGGGAGGGAGGGAGGAAGGAAGAAGGGGGGAGGGAGGAAGAAACAAACATTATAAAGTGCCTACTATGTATTACTAAATATATTTAATTATAAATTCTAATTTAATAATAAAATAATAACTAATGATGTGCTGAGCACAGTGCTAAGCACTTTACAAATATTCTCTCACTGGATCCTCACAACAACCCTGGGAGCTAGGTGTTATTATGATCCCCATTTTATACATGAGGAAACTGAGGCAGGCAGAGGTGAAGTGACTTGCCCAGGACACGTCTGACATGCATGCTTCTTGGTTGAGATATTGGGGTGAGGAAGGGACGTGGTCTGGAAGGTGACCCAGAGCCGAGGAGGTGTGGAGGAAGCACAGCGCCAGGCATAAAGATGAGCGTAGTCTGTGTGGCGGCCCAGTGAGGGTTGGGGAGGAGCAGAGCGCCAGTGGCCTTCTAGCCGGGGGTCTGCGCCACAGGAGGCTGTCCCTGCATCCTCCTCCTGGCCTGGAAGGGACCCACTTCCTGCTGGCTGCACCAGGGGCAGGGCACGCTGGGCAGGTCCGACCTCGCTGGCTGGTGAGGTTTCCCAGTTCAGTGCAGACTCCAGGTGTGTTGTAGGAAGCCCAGCCCAGCCTAGGGCAGAGTTCCTTCCCGGAAGGTTAGCTAGAGGCTGAACTTTTGGCCACAGAAACCTAGCAGGCCCATAGCTAGGGAGCAGTTGCAGTCAGGATCAGAGGGAGGCTTGTGGAAGCTAGCCTTTTTAGGTTCTGGAATCAAAGGATCCTGAGTTCAAATTCCACTTCTGATGCTTACTATGTCTGTATAACTTTGGGCAAATCACTTCTTCTTCTTAGGCCTCAGTTTCCTTATCTAGATAGAGCACTCTGCCTGGAGTCAGCAAGACCTGAGTTCAAATCTCAGACATTTCCTAGATAGGAACTAGAATTCTGCTCTGAGTCCAGAGGCAAGAAAGGAAAGTTTTTTCCTTTTTTCCTAAAGGTAAATAGGGTGAGGTGATAATGAAAACAGGAACAGTGGGCTCTCCAACCATGGTGGGGAGGGGAGAGGGGAGACTCTACTATATAACAAACACCCCACTTTTCCCCCAACCTTTGGGATCCCGTTTTGAAAGCTGTCCAACTCTGTAGTGTGGGCACCACCTAGTGGTCAGAAAAATTCAGTTCAACCCAATAGAGAGGAAGAGCCCATTGTAGAAGGGACTGGGGATACAGACAAAAAGACACGACCCCTGCCCTCGAGAAGCTTACATTCTGCACGGTGAAATGATATGCCCACCTAGAAGTACCTGGAAAGCCAATTCAAGTGCTCACAAGGAAAAGCAGTTGTAGATCAGATTGACAGGCTCATGAACCATCTCCCTTCTCTGTCCTACTCTGTATATTAAAATGACTGCTTTATTTGGTGTCGTTAAGTTCAGAATTTTAAAAAAGCACAAAGGAAGTTTTGGGGTAAGGCGCTAGTAGCTGGGGCAGGGAGGGGAGTGGCCTTAGGGAAGGTCTCCCCCAGGAGGCAGCCCCAGAGACGTACAGTCTGCGAGAGAATGAAAAAACGGGAGGTACCAAAGTACTGAAGTGGAAGGAAGTTTGGAAGAAGAGAAACAAACGACGACATTAGAAGAATGCACTCATTTCACACAAGCCAGAGTTGGGAATTCAGATGGGATGCCCCCAGGTGCAACGGATGGAGCGCTGGACCTGGGTCAGGAAGACCTTAGTTCAAATCCAGCCGCAGACACGTTCTAACTGTGTGACACTGGGCAAGTCACTTCACCTTGTTTGCCTCTGTTTCCTCACCTGTAAGACGAGCTAGAGAAGGAAATGGCAAACCACTCCAGTGTCTTTGCCAAGAAAACCCCAAATGGGGTCACAGAGAGTTGGACACAACTGAAAAATGACCAAACACCAAAACCACACATATAGGGAATTCCCAGGGGGAGGAAACTCCCTCTAAAATATGTATTGAGCTCTTTCTCAGCAACTTGCTTAGAGTGCTGGGGTCTGTGATTTGCCCAGGGTCATGCTGTGAATATGTATCAGAGGCAAGACTTGAACCCAGGTCTTCCTATCTGGTTCTAGACACTATGCTACCCAAGCCCGCGTATTGGAGGGGAAAAACCAACCTGGTATTGTGCTTCTGGCTACGTACTGGAAGTGAGCTTCTTTATTTCTGATGGCTGTCAAGGAGAAAGCATTCAACCCTAATACAAAGTCTGAGATCACGGAAAAAGTTTCTTCCTGAATGACACAAGGCTAAACATTGAACAGAAGAAAAAAACAAACAAAAAAATTAAAGAAAGGCGGGTGCAAAGTACACAGACAAACGAAAGTACACGTGGCGCACTCGCTACTAAGTGAGGGAGGCTCCGAGGTCAAGGGGCATTTCTGTAACACTGGGAGAAAAAGGTAAAACATTAACAGACGGTTTATTCCAGCAAGTTACACAAGATGCTTCACTGTCAGCAACAAGGCTTTCCACAGGCCTTCAGCAGGGTAATTTATAGCTCACCCCTGTCCCTTTGTTGGCTGAGAAACAAGCAATTATTCCGTGCCTGGTATGTGCCGGACCCTGTGCTAAATGACGTACAAACATCTCATCTGATCCTGGCAGCTAGGTACTGTTATTACGCCCATTTTACATTTGGGGAAACTGAGGCAAATAAATTTTTTTTTTTTAAGTGACTTGCCTGAGGTCACTACTAAATGGTAGGCCAGATCTGAACTCAAGTCTTCCTGATTCCAGGCCCACTGCTCTAACCACTGTACCACCTTGCTGCCTTTTCAGTAATGTCAAACTTTTCAAAGAACAAAAATAGTAGGTCTAGAATTTCAATTCCACAGAATCAAGTAGCCTCAAAGACAAGATTCAGTGTGATAGGGGGCAGCTAGGTGGCACAGTAGATAGAGCTCCGGCCCTGGATTCAGGAGGACCTGAGTTCAAATCCGACCTCAGACACATAACACTTACTAGCTGTGTGACCCTGGGCAAGTCACTTAACCCCATTACTTAGCCAAAAAAAAAAAGATTCAATGTGATAACAATCACAAATCCCCTGAAAGACACAGTTTTAAAATCTGAATGACACAATGTGAGAAATAAAAAAACAATCTGGAACTTTTGAATACAGACCAAAGATGGACTGAGAGAATCCACATATCAACACCAGGGAAAAGTTGTGCTTCATACTCCAAGACATGTGATATTAGATTGAATAATGTGTGTGCTAAGCAACAAATTTTGCAAATGGCCTAGAGAAAGAACTTCAGATATGGAGGAAAAGCCATTCTAATACTCTGGGATTATTCCACATGCTTAAGAAACTGTCAGAGGATGAAAGAGCATATTCTCAAAAGAAAAGGACCTCAGGCTTCAACGTGAGATGCCAAGCTGCAGCTTGAGAGAGATCCAAGCCAGAGACTAATCAGGGAAAAGTGAGAGAAGAGAGAGACAGAAACAGAGACAGAGAGAGACAGAGAGGAAAGGGAGGAAGGAGAGAGAGAGAGAGAGAGACAGAGAGACAGAGAGAGACAGACAGACAGAGAGAGAGAGAGAGAGAGAGAGAGCGAGCGCAGGGGCGGGGGGAAGGAGAGAGACAGAGAGACAGAAAGAGAGAGGAAAGGAGACAGAGATAGCTAGAGACACAGAGACAGACAAAGAGAAGGGAAGAAGGGAGGGAAGATATTTAGTAAGTGTATTTGATATATTCTAGCTTTCAAGTACACTGTCCCTTTATTTAGGTCCTTTTTATATGAAGCAGTTTAGTGAGGAAAAGGGGAAAAAATTACATAAAGGAAAATATTTTTATGAACTATCAAGGATATAAGATATTGCTGCTGTTATAAGCAGACATTTTAATGCTTTAAAGGAACAAAAAACCACCTTGGCTTAATAAAAAAAAAAGATTAAAATATGTGTATGAAGAAATGCAGTTTTCACAGATTCACCAACTATCTGAGCAGTTTTGGGCAGAAAACAAACTGGCACAAATAGAAGACCTCAAGTTACTTCGTGAACAGTGTAGAATGGGGCCTCTCTTGGATGTGAAGTTAGATGTTTTATATTAGGTGGAGGAAAATTTTTCATTTTTTGAAAACTGCAGCAACATGAATGTAAAGAAAACCTGGTTTTGAAGGACATCCAAGGAGGTAAAGGACCATGTTCTGAACTTACAGCTACAGGAGACCTCACCACGTGGCTTCCCTGGCCACCCTGGCCACCCTTTCCAGCCCTGCTGCACTCCCACCTCCCAATTCACTGTTTGAATTGGGATACTCCTTGTGCTCCATTGCCACTTACAGGCTTTCCCTCTGCCATCAGGATTCAGTAACCTCTCTTCTTTGAAGTCCATTCCATCCATGTTTATCGCCCAATCAAGCTGATGGTTTTTTTTTTTCCTACCAGCCTCCAGAACGTTCTCCTGGGTCCGACAGGGTCTGAGTCCTCTTCTCTTCTCCCTCTATTCTACTTCACTTTGTGATCTCATCAGCTCCCATGGATTAAATTATCATCTCTATGCTGAAAAGTCTCAAATCTACCTACCCAGCCCTAAACTCTCTACTGACTGATCTCTGGTCTTGCATCTCCAAATGTCTTTCAGACATCTCAAACTAGATGTCAAATAGATGTCTTAAACTCAACATGTCCAAAACTGGACTCATTATCTTTTCTCCTAAATGGTGCCCAACTCCACCCCAAACTTCCTTATTACCACCAAGGGCACCAACATCTTCTCAATCACCAAGCTTGCTTACAACCTAGGTGTCATCCTTAACTCTCACTATCTCTCATCCTCCACATCCATCCCTTCTCTCTCCTGATACTGCTCTCATCCTGGTGAAATCATCTTATGCCTGGACTGTGGCAATAGCCTGCCTCAAGTCTCCCTCCTCTGGTCCATCCCACACTCCGCCACCAGTGATTTTCCTAAAGTGCAGATCTAACTATATCATCCTCCTATTCAATAAACTCTATAGGCTCCCTATCACCTCCAGGATCAAATATAAAATCTTGTTTGGCCCTTCATAACCTGCTCCCTTCCTACCTTTCCAGTCTTCTTAAACCTTCCTCCTTTCCACATACTTCATAATCAAGTGACCCTGGCCTCCTTGCCGCTGCTCACACAAGATGATTCATCTCCTGACTGAGCCTTTGACTGGTTGTCCCCAGCACCAGATCTCTGCACTCCCTCAACTCCTGCTGCCTGGTTTCCTTCAAATCTCACCTTCTACAAGAAGTTTGCCTTCCCTCTGAGATTATCTCCAACTTAAGCTCTCTATATCTTGTTTAGATCTAGTTATTTGCATGTCTCCCCTGACAGACAGTCAGTGAGCCTCTTGAAAGGAGGGACTGTTTGTTTTTTTTTTGCCTTCCTTTCCGTACTCCTTTCCCTAGCATTTAGCACAGTGCCTGGCAAATAATAAGCACTTAATAAATGATTGTTGACTGACTGACTGGCTCCTTAGATCTGCATGTAACTATTTTATGTTAACATAAGAAAAAACAACAACAAAAAAGCAAAACGATATGAACTTTTGGAAATGAGGTATGGTTTTTAAAAAGTTTTTGGAAATGAGGTAGAGTTTTTAAAAAGTTTTTTTTTTAATATGGAAGACTTCATTGGAGAGTTTGAAAGTTTAAGTGAAAGCAACACTGAGTGCCAGATGGCTCTTATTTAAGCAAGTCTGAGAACTTAAAAAACAGTAAAGGGATGGATGGAAAAACTATTCTGCAGCAGTTCTGCTAGAAGCAGTCAGGGGAGAGAAGGCTTCAGTTAAGTGATTTCTGATTGGTGGGAAAGAGAATTGATTGTATTTTTTTGGCTAGGATCTTTAGCCATGTATTGCCCTTCTGTGCCACCTAGTGTTGGAAAGAGGCAATGCTTCTTGCAAGTACATACAATCTGCTGCTACTTGTGGTTTGAGAAGGAAAAAGGGAGGCTGGTGGTGCTGGGTAGGTTTCTTTGGGATAGGTGGTGAAACGGGGCAGCCCTCAGCTCTGTGGTGATTGAACAATGCAGCATCCAGGTGGGTGAGTAATTGGTTGCTCGGGTCTCTATAGCCCAGAAAAAGCCAGTTTGATCAATGTTGCATTTTCCATTATTAGACTGTGAGCAGGGGCTGATTGTGCATTTTTTTTAATGTCTAGGGTGCTAATAAATCCTTATTGTTGACTTGAATCTGGCTTAATGGGAATTACTATTCACATTACAAGTTAAGAAGTCAAGTCAAATCAACCAATATCATTAAGGAATTTCAAACAAAATCCTGTCAGATTACAGTGATTTATCCAACAAATAATTCATTATTTATACCAGGTATGCAGGACGATTCAACATTAAGAAAACAATACAATCATGTTAAACACAAAAACATCTAAAACCCCATGATTATCTCAATAGATACAGAAAAGGCCTTTGAGAAAGTACAATACAGCCACATATTGCTAAAAATCCTACGAAACAGAGGCACAGAAAGACCTTTTTAAATATGTTTAAAAGAATCTATTTAAAACCCCCCAAAGCATTATGGGGACACACACCAGAATCTTTTCCGATAAAAACAGGAGTAAAACAAGGGGGCCCACTCTTCCCAATATTATTTGATATAGTTCTGGAAATGCTAGTGACAGCAATACAATAAGAGAAATAAATTAAAGGCATGAAGACAAGTAATGAGGAGATAAAGCTATCCCTATTTGTTGATTATATGACAGTATGCTTGGAAAAGTCTCAGGAATCATCAAAGATACTAACTGGGGCAATTAATAGCTTCAGCAAAGTTGCAGTCTATAAAATAAGCTCTTAACAATCAATGGCATTTCTAAATAACGATAACAAAACCCAAGAAGCAATAACAGGAAGGGAAATCCTATTCTAAATAAAGTTTTTTGTTATTGTTCAGTTGTTTTCAGTCGTGTCTGACTCTTCATGATCTCATTTGGGGTCTTCTTGGCAAAGACACTGGACTGGTTTGCCATTTCCTTCTCCAGCTCGTTTTACAGATGAGGAAACTGAGGAAGACAGTGAAGTGACTTGCCCAGAGTCATACAGCCAGTAAGTGAAATCCCTTATGAGCTCCCTGCCAGGTTCCCGTGTGTGCTCACTGTTCACTACAGATGAGTGTGTTGGTGGGAGAATGTGCAGATTTATATATGTCTAGATATCTTTTATTATTTAATGCATTTTATTCCATTATGTTACATATATTATTTAATGCATAATACTTAATTTACTTTAACAGATTAGTACTAATGCCATCATTTCTTTTATCTTTTTCCT